ATAATTTTATTTAAAAATATAATATAATACTTAAATATAAGTATTATTAAAATAGTATTTATTAATGTTTTAATAACATAAATCTATATTTATTATATAATTATACATCTGAAATTTACATGCATATAACTTTACATTTCTACTTTTTTTTTTTACTTTTTATGTGCTGAATAATAATAAGAATAATAATCATCTACATCATCATCATCATATTACTACCACCACTATTATTGTTGTGGTTGTTATGCTATTATTATTCAAAAATTGAGGTTTTCTATTGGTTGAGCTTAAAAGAACTTGACCCCGCCCTCAATACATGAAACACCAATCAGAGAAGAGATCTTGCTAAAGTGTGGGAGAGACTTACATCATTCAAATGGCAAAAACACTGCGTTTTATGCCGATTAATCATTTATAATCACAAAAATATTACATAAAATAACCGATCTGATTTCATGGTGGCTTAAGATTTGAAACTTCTTCCTTTTGTAGTGAAATGTGGGCTGTTTCTCCTAATTGAAAGGTGAAGAGGCATTACTTAAGTTGTTGAACAGGCAATTAATATGGCCACAGAAAGATCTCGCGCTTTCCGAGCTCATGTCAGAGTCTCCGTAACCTTTTACACAACCATGCCGAAGAATAAAACCCTCGGCTCCGTTTAAGTCGGATCCAAAGAGCTTACAACTGTAATTAAATCATTAAATTCTTGTCCATGCTTGACAGAGCAGAGAGAAATTAACTTCCCCACCAACCTCATTTTCTATTTGAACATGAAATAATGATTTTCTGCCAGTCTAATTACAGAGGCAACATCTGATCTGCGCTGCATCCGAGGGGGATTAACTCCAGCGCAGGCATTAGAGCTCATTACCAGCTCCACTGCAGAAATATTACATCTTGTAATTGGATTGAGAGATTTATATACTGATCCGGGACCAGTTTGCGGAATATTGTAATTACAAGCTTCATTGGTCGGCTACTTATCTAAACTTCGCAGCCAAAACAAACCGCATGGCATTAACCTGTGACCCTTTACACAGCCGTCAGAGTGAAGGAAGCGTGCTTTTTCCCTCTTTCTCCTGAGCTCGATGTGTTTATTAATTCAGAATAACTGACTGTGAGGAACTCATGCGACTGACGAGCGTAATCGCGCCAAAACTATATCGCCTCCTCAGGACTCCCGCCATTTTCCGGCTGAAATAAAGCAGGAGTCCGAGATGGGAGGATTGGAGTTTAGATCACTTCCAAGCACTGTTTCTCTTTGGTTTTCGCACTACCGAATAATTTTAGCGTAAAAAAAATAATCGCTGAGAACTCGAGCGCCGCGGATAACCGCGTTATAACGACTCCACAATCGGTTATGAAGGGTTTTATAGCCGATCAAGGCTGAAAACCCGCCATTTTTCTTTTTAACTCAATAAAAAGTCGTGAGAAGTTGATGTATTTTGATTTCATTGCCCTTTTTAAAGGTTTCACTGGTGGAAAATGGATTTTCTCGGGTTTTTCATGGATTTTCACTTCAGGAACTGCCAAATTTTGTTTATTATTGATATTTTTTACTCTTGGTTTTGTATTTGTTTATCTCTGATGAATATCTCTATATGAGTTTTGGTTAAAATGGTTCATAAGCCTACTTATATTCGTGAATCTTTAACATACTGGAAAGTTGTCAAATGGAAATTATTAGGTGTTTGTCAATTTAAAAAAAAGTGTTAATTAAAATACTCTTCAGACCACAATTATTGACATTGAATTGGTGTTTGGGGAACCAAAATGGTTCTTCCACATAAATGTGGTGGCCAGAAATCCCCATGGGACCATTATTTAGAGAGTGTAAATACAGCAGTGTCCCCATTTACAATTACTTGTAATGCTAATCATTATTTCAGTGAAACTTAGCTACAATAACGTCTTCAGTTCAGCTTCTGTTTATTGTGTAACAATTATTTAGATGTAGTAATTGCACTCGCGAGACATTAATGGCATTATTTTTTCGTCGGGGAATTTAAACAGGGATTTTTGTTTGTTCTACTTTCCCCCTCATATAATTTAGTCTTAAATCTAATACACACATTTTCCCTCTTTGTCTTGTTTTTATGTCGATAAATGGTGATATTATCATCTGCTTCTCAGGATAAAAAAGCGGATTAGTTTCTGTGAAATAAGATTTATGATGTGTTTATAACAAACCGATGGAGATGTAATCTCAGCACATGTTTTTTTTGGAGGACAATAAAGCATCAATATGCCTCTTCGGTATTTATTTAATCTTTTCCTGGAAAACCAATACTGTATCTTTTGTCTCGCTGATTTAGATGTTAACAGACTCGTTTAATCCACTGCATTAGCAGAACTATATGTCTTTAATATGACGAATAAGCTCTTTTATTATTTTACTAGCCTTTGAATCCACTGTTTAACAACACATCGCACTTTTTAATCTCATAAAAATGTGTTTAAATTGCATTTTTATAACGATCGTCTTATTTTATAGAGACGAAATAAAAACAGGCCATCAACTGCATGAGTAAAGCCTTATTTCCTTAAAGTGACACCTCAAAATAAAAACGACGTAGTCTACTCTTCCAGGAGTGGTTTCAAACCGTGTTTCATCTGTTTGTTCTTAAATGCGAAAAGAAATAATTATTATATTTTCTAATCTATTATTTTATTCAATTGAAAACATTTTGAATAATGCTTAAATCCTGTAACCATTGACTTGCATAATATTTGTTCTACTGATTATAAAAAAAGTCAATGGTTACAGGTTTTCAAGATTATTTAAAACATCTTGTGATCAACAAAAAACAAGGAAACTAATAAAGGTTTAAAAACAAGTGTGAGTAGGCTAAATAAATTATGTCATTTTAATTATTGAGTGAACTATCCCTTTAAATGGGTTTCGCGATCAATCTTTTCATGATGATATCTAGATTATATTCACAATATTTACACGAAAATAAAACGTGTTGTTAATAAACAGCGAAATGAAGTCTGACATTAGGTGTGTGCGTGTGTGTGAGCGGACAAGAGAGAGAGGGAGTTTTCAGAGGAGGGCGGGGCCTGTGAGACACTAGAAATGTCAATCACCCGAGTGTTGTGAACAATCCCACTCGATCTAAATGTGACCTCGGTGCACCGCAGACCGGAGAGCGGCTTTAACTCTCAGCGAGACTCTCCGCGAGTTTCCCCGCAGTCCTCCCGGTGTCAAAGGCGAGATCTGTGATTCTCCTTGCACCGCTCGGACCTTTGGCAGCAGCATGTCTCTCCCGCAGCTAGGCTATAAGTACATCAGACCGCTGTACTCCACGGAGCGGCGCGGCGGCGCGGAGATCTCGGTCACCGGCTCTGGTTCTCTGTCCAGCGCGCTGTCCGGTGTGTACGGAGCTCCGTTCGCCAGCACAGCGCAGGGATACAGCGCGTTTCTGCCCTATTCCAGCGACCTGTCCGTTCTCAACCAGCTGGTGAGTCCATGGACACTCTCCCATTTTTACGAGATTATTAAGGTTGAGAGAATAGCTCAGATTTGATCCCGTTAACCGGGCTTCTCAGAAATAAACAAAAAGTACAAAATGATAACTTTGCTAACACCTTAGGTAACTTATTTAATTCGCCAACATGCTCTAGGTAACTTATTTAATTTAATTCCCCAACATGCTCTGGGCAACTTATTTATAATTCACTAACATGCTCCGTTTCAAACAACACCTTTTGCGTATTTTAATTATAATGATTTTGGTCACACTTTACAATAAGGTTGTAGTCAATTAAATTCAAGTTTATTTGTAGCGCTGTTCACAATAATTATTGACTCAAAGCAGCTTTACAAAATGTATTAGTAAATAAGCATATGTAGCCTATTAATGTTAATGAATTTACTAATAATTTTAAAGCATTTATTAATCGCAGTTCAACATTTATTAATGTAGCCTATTATTAAAACCCAAAGTTGCGCTTGTTAACATTAGTTAATCCCTGTTCATATTTGTTTTCATTTTCTTTTAGTCTCTTTTATTTCAGTTTATATGAAGCACTTTAAATTGCCACTGTGTATGAAATGTGATATGAATAAATAAAGTTGCCTAGTTATTGCACTGTGAGTTAACATGAACTAACGTTAATTAACGGCAATTGCATTAACTAACATACACGTATAAATTCCGTAATCACCGTATTACCATTATGCTCATGCTCATGTTAGTAAATACAATAATTAATGTAGCATAATTTTAAAGTGTTACCGAAATTTTTGTTAGTTTGACGAGGTTTTTAAGTCCATATTTTTATCCATTTCCCGGAAAAAAAAAAACATCCGCGCTTCTAAGAAATATAATCAAGTACAAAATGATAACATTTTAAAGTCTCTAGGTAACCTATTTTATTTAGCAGCAGGCTCTTGGTGACTTATTTAATTCTCCAACGTGCTCTGATTTAAAGAGCAGCTTTTTATGAGCGCATTTTCTGCCCCAATTATATATTTAATTATTCATTTCTCCAAACATTATTTTTAAAATAGTTTTTAAATCGGCTTATTAAGTTAAATGTGTTGCTGTGGTGTTTATTAGCTATATGCAGTGTTAGAAAAACTGCGTATAACACTGTATAAAGACTCGCTATTTGATTATTTAAAAGAAGATGAAACTAATCGTCATTTTCACGCCTTTTTAAGATGCATTTTCAGTAGAAACGAGAATTTAAACACTCAGTGAAAACAATGTTAGTTCATTAGCATTTTAAATGAGCTTCATCTAAATAAAAAATATTATTTAGATGTATAATAAATGCTTGCGCAGGACACAAATCTTTGTGAATAAAAACTTTATGCACCATTAAAGAAATGTAACTGAAGCAGTGCATTTATATGAGGACTCTTTAGATAGTTAATTTAGCTTTAAATGGTTAGATTAAGACAGAATGATTTGTTGAATATTAAATTTGCTATTTTTTGCGATTGTCCAAATTAGGTTTAAAAAGGCAACAACTGATTATTTCTGTTTCTTTTTGCAGTGTACAGGCTGCTGAAATCGTTTGTTAACACATTACAATAAGGCTCTATTAATGTATTCACTAACATGAACAAACAATGAACAACACATTTATTACAGCGTTCATTCGTCTTTGTTAACACCAGTCAATCAAAAGAGTGGACTAACTAATGCTAACAAGCACATCTTTGGATATTTATAATATATTAGTACAAACTATTATAAATGCTAATAAACTCGTGTTAATAAATACACTCACATTATTTAATGAAACATTTTTTATAAAGTGTGAGCAAAAATGATTTATGTTTACATCTTTTACTCATTGTTTTTGTCTAAATGTCTTGCTTTCAGATCAGAATATTAATAAATTAACAATTTTAGCTCTTAACTACTAATTAGGTTAATAGTTGTTAGGTTTAATAACGGGCAGGATTAGAGATGCAGAATAAGAGAGTACATTATACACAATTAATATCTTAGTAAGCCGGTAGTTAACAGTTAACAGAACTGCTTGTGTGACTGACTATTCTTCACTCGCACATCTTTACCCATAATTTTTTGTCCATATTTAGAATTAAACAACTGAATATTTTTTCGTTCCTACTTTCTTTCAGTTCCCTATTATTTTAGGTGGCCTTAAAACATGAGGAGCTTAATGTGGGATATGGGTTAGAGACAGGTTTGAGGGTGGGCTAAGGTATAAGTGATGGTCAACAATGCAATTACAGACATTAATTATAGATGTAATGCAGGAATTTAATCAATGTAAAAGCATGTATTTACACAATAACTCCACTGTAACAAATGATTATTTTAGTGTAAGTATAGTAGTTAAAGCTACCTAAAGCAGGACATTTCTTTTTTTTTCCCTTTCTTTCTTTCTTTCTCTTTCTTTCTTTCTTTCTCTTCATTTTCTTATCATTCCATTTTTCCCACCATCTTTCCTTCTTTCCTTTTCTTCTTTTTCCTTCTTTCATTCCTTCCTTTTTTCATTTTCCTTCTTTTCTTTCTACCAGCTTTCTTTCCTTTGTTCTTATTTTCTCATCCTTCCTTCCTTCCTTCCCTTTTTCCCACCATCTATCATTCTTTCCTTTCCTTTTTTCATTCCCTTCTTTTTTTCTACCTGCTTTCTTTCTTTTGTTCTCTCTCTCTTTCATTCTTTCTTTCTCTTTTTCTTTCTCGTTTTCTTTCTTTCCTTCCTTCGTTCCTTCCTTCCTTCCATCCTTCCTTCCTTTCACCCTTTTCCTTTATTCTGTCCTTCTATCATTTCCTTCCTTCCATCTTTCATTCATCCCTTTCATTATTTTCCTTCCTTCCATCATTTTTCTTCCTTATTTTCATAATTTTCCTTCATTCCCTCTTTCCTTTCTTCCATCATTTTGCCTCCTCCTTTCTACATTTCCCACCTTCCTTCCATAATTTTCCTCAATTTCTTCCATCATCTTCCTTCCTTCTGTTTTCATCCTTCATTCATTCCATCATTTTCATTCCTTCTATCCTTCCTACCTTATTTCTTTAATTTTCCCTCTTTCCTTCCTTCCACTTATTGATTTATGTCCATATTTATAATGAAATAATCACATATTCCTCAGGATCACGTGTATGCTAATAGACCATTTTGAGGGATGTAAACCATAGCAATGGTCCTAATGTATCTCCTGTTTTACATTTTTAATTTCCACAGCTTCCAAGAATCTTGAAAGGTCCACATATTGATAGATAATTTTATGAGAGCAGATTTAACGTTAAGTTATGATTGAATTGCCTCTTGTTTCAGTTAGGAAAAAGTTTGAGCACAAGCAGTAAATGTTCATGGTCCAATAACATCACCACGCTGAAATGATCAATAACAGTCTGATTTGTCCTTCGTCTGCAGAGCTCGCAGTACGAGTTTAAGGACAGTCCCGGGCTCCAGCATGCAGGGTTCCCCCATGCCGCCTTCTACCCATACGGACACCAGTATCAGTTCGGCGACCCATCCCGACCCAAAAACGCCACCCGCGAGAGCACCAGCACCCTGAAGGCCTGGCTCAGCGAGCACCGCAAAAACCCCTATCCCACCAAAGGGGAGAAGATCATGCTGGCCATCATCACCAAAATGACCCTCACCCAAGTGTCCACCTGGTTCGCCAACGCCCGCCGGAGGCTGAAAAAGGAGAACAAGATGACGTGGGTTCCCAAAACGAGAACCGACGAGGATGGAAACGTGTATACAAGCGATAACGAGGATGCAGAAAAACGAGATGAGGATGAAGAGATAGACCTGGAGAACATCGACACGGAGGACATCGAAGATAAACAGGATTGTGACTATCAGGATGATGATAAGTCAACACCTAAAGGTTCCGATTCTGAGGAATACGACGATGCCAGAGCGGAGAAGAGGATTATTGAGGACGAGGAACAAATCAAGAAGAGTCCCGCAGAGGAGCAAGAGCCATCCAATAACATAAGTCCAGCTCTGAAGCCAAAGATCTGGTCTTTGGCTGAAATCGCAACGACGCCGGACAGTCCTAAAAAGACGTGGATTCAGAGAAACTGTGACGCTCAGACTGTCAGGAACCCACTTCACGTTCAGAACTGGACCAAAATGGCTATTTCAGCCCATCAGATGGCCTTCACTAGCCATTACCTCGGACTTAAACACCAGAGCATCGCAAACATACACGTGAAACACGCAGAGCAGAGGACTCACAGCTTATGAAAACCATCACACACACACACACACACACACACACACACACACACACACACACACACACACACACACACACACACACACACACACAGTAAAAAACAAATCTGTAAATTGATGGTTTCATATTTTGTGATTCATGTCTTTTCTGCTCTCGAACAAAGCAAATGTTTGCTAATTCAATTCACCTTTATTTCTGTAGCGCTTTTACAATGTTGATTGCATCAAGCAGCTTAACATAGAAGTTCTAGTAAAGTTAAACAGTGTCAGTCCAGTTTTCAGACTTCAGTTCAGTGCGGTTTAATTTTCCCTGCTGAAAGTCCAAACACTAAGGAGTAATCCATCAATGCACAGCTCCACAATTCTTACACCAAGCAAGCCAGTGGCGACAGTGAAAGAACTAACTTCGCCGATTGTCAAAAGTGAAAGAAAAAAAACCTTGAGGCGCTATTTGTTCAAACTACTTGTTTAAAATGAGCTAAAACAACAAGTCCTGAGATTTACTGCAGATAAATTATTAGTTTTTATGTTCAATCAACTTAAATTCATTAAGTAACCTTCATCAGTTTGTGTTGAGTTGGTGTAACAGTGTATCCAGCATTATTTAAAGAGCGTGTTTGTGCTTTTAAATTGCATTGTGGGATCTTAATCCTTCCTCCGAAAACTTTTGACATTGAAATGTTTGGAAAAAGTGACTTTTATTGACATTTTTAATAGTTTAAAGTCCTATTCTAACACAAGGGTGCTGGACAGCAGGGTTAAGGATCCACGAGCAGTTTATTGAAAGCTTAGTCAGGCAGGCGATGGTCAACGGGTAAAGTCTAGATGGGATACACGGCTGGCCAACAATGCGATATGCACATCAATATAGCAGCATTTTTTAAGACACTGTAGGGTTTAGGGCTGGGGTAGGCATTAAAAGTACAATTTATTGGGTAATTAAATAGATAGCATAATACACGGTATAATTACTGTTTTTACATCACTGTGATGGTTGGGTTTAGGGTTGGGGTGGGGGTAGATGTTAATAAAATACAACAAATGGGAAATTTAATAAATAATATAAATAATTCTCGTTAACTTCTGGACGTAATCATATCCGATCTAACAACAATCCAAAAAATAATCAGGTCACAGGCAAAAGGTCGATTCAGGCAGCAGACAACATAAACAATGGAACAAGGCAAGGGTCAAAACACGAAGAGACTAAAACAGGAAACGCTTGGTAATGTACAGGTACAGGTAATGCTTGGTACAGGGTTGGAAACCAACACGAGAGAATATCATGAAAGAAAACTCGCGTATTGATGTTAATGCGATATTGTATTGTCTGAGTATTATCCTGTCTGGTCTTCCGTGTTGCGAGTCTCGCCTTGTTCTTCCATGTGTTGATCCGCATAGCCTGACCTACTGCCTGTTTGACTGCAACTTTGGATAACCCTTATGATTACTACTCTGCTAAACAAATGCTGCATTTGTATCCACAACTGCGATGTTCAGCGTCGTCAATCCACAAGCATTACAGATATATCGTCTGTACTGGTGGTGTAAATTATGGTTCAACAGCCTGTTATTAACTGACAGTCCAACACAATCTCATGGCAATTCGTAACTTTTTCATTTAGTGGCTAATTCTTGTGAATTTGTACGATCTAATTCGTACAATTTAGTTTGATTTGCTCATCCCCCAATGACGGTTGGGGTTAGGTGCCACGCCCCCTTTTTAAAAATCGTAAAATTTCGTACGACTGAACTCGTACGAATTCATTCGAATTAGCCACTAAACTGGCAAAACGTAAAATACTAATGTTTTCTCGTGAGATCAGGCTGACAGTCTGTTATTTTACAGATTTATGTTCACACTAGAGTTTGAGCTTGCGCAATTCTGTCATACGTTGGTGCGAAAAGTTGCAGGATCAAACAAAATGATCGGACATAATAAAAGCAAGTGATTGGTCAATATTTAAAATTCCTATAAAGAGGTCATGTTTTGATATCCGATTGGACAAAGGAAGTCACGTGATGCGATTTCGCAGGTCAGCTTGAACTGCGCAACTTGTCGCATGAGCTAGCGTTTTCGATCTGCCGCATTCGCACGCATATAAATAGAAGTCCATGTGACCACGACTTTAGTTCTATATATATTATTTTTTATACAACATATAAACGACTAAAATGGCAATAAAAGTCACTTTGGTAAACCACAGAGTTGAACTATCAACATTAAAAGTCGACAAAGCAGAGATCCACATCCAATAATGCCATTAATATCCATAGATAAGCTAAAAAAAAAAAAGCTGTGAATCACAAAATACTGAAGCTGTTGACTAATGGATTTGTTTTCGTTCTTTTCCACATTTTCTACAGATCCTTTTCACCTTGCTTATGGAGAGTATCACTTATGAATCAGAGTTTCTCCATTATAATAGATCAAAGCTATCTATTAGCTCTTCTATTGATATGAGATTATATTAGAATCTATTTTATACTGTCCACATTTCATGGTGTTTCATTTGTTAGGATCGGTTCTGTGTTTTTGTCTGAAGAACAATCTCACACTGCACCCTACACTTAAAAACAGCTACAACAAATGAATAGATCGTACAATTACTGAATTAGATATTGAGAGTTAATGATAATAATAATAATTATTAATGAAGAATATAGTGCCTAATATGGGAAGTTCATACATGTGGTTTTTCTTTGTCTTATTTTAGCACATTCGTTTTAGGGATTCACAATTAAACGACACCTGCTCGTCTTTAACACATGATTTGACAAGTATTAATTCTCTTTTCATCATGTTTTTGTGTGTTTTGCTTTGCCGAATGCCTTTTTGTCGTCATTTTATATGTCACGTTTTAAGAAAGGGGAAAATATTTCAAAGGGTTTTTTTGTAAATGAGATTGAAAATGTACCTACTTGAAATAATATTGTACAAAGACGTATATTTTGAATATTAAAATGAAATCACGATTGTCATAATGAAGATTTTCCTGCTCCTTTTTGCCTTTTTCAACAGACATTTGGCATTAACAATGTTTATTTGATGCAGTTAACAATGAACTGCATCGAAATATGACAATTTTGTCTGTGTCAGGCACTACCATTTAAAAAAACTGCATGTCCAGAGCCTAAATCTCAATAGACGTCATATATATATTTGTTGGTCCACACTGACTGACAGACAGAAAGAGCTATTTGACTTGAGAAGATCTACAGTGTTGTCATGAATCTGCTTCTGGATTGACGTGGTGACAGATGAGCTGTTCAGCTTTACGGCGCCATCTGCAGGCAGCAAATAGAGCACAGTTTAAAGCTCAGGCCTTTTGTTTTGCTCTGCTTTGAGCTTAAGATCACAGATGGACACCAGATAGTGCTGTTTGTTGTCTTTAAAGTCAATCTTCATAAAAAAAAAAAAGCACTTAAAATCCACATGAACCGAAAGCTAAAACCATTTTTAGTTTTCCATATTGTGATGCACAAGAAATGAAATATTAAATGAAAGAACAGTGGGAATGGCTTGTTTTTCTCCTGCGAGCTGATTGGATGGTAAAGAGGGTGTTTCATTCAGAAAGATGGGGGAAAAGGGTCCTCTTTTACATTCAGCTAGTTGCCTAAACAGTCCAGTCTGTTGACATTATCGGGGGACAATGTGGACCTTTTCTTTTAAATGATGTGAGCAGAGAGTGCAAAGCAATCTCACAGCAATTCGTAACTTTTGATTTAGTGGCTACAGACATTTATGCAGGTTTGTTGCTAAGAAAAACGCGCGCGCACACAGACAGACAGACAGACAGACAGACAAACAGACACACCGCATACAGGACAGGGCAGCAGGAGTGACTCCCTTCAGATTTAACACGCATGATCGCATTCGTCAAATTTGCTTAAACTGAGCGTTCTAAAGTATTACTGTATTTCAAAAGGATTCTGACACAACAACGCAAAGCATACACTTGCGTGGGGGAAACACGTCAATCTTAATGACACATTGGAGGGCACATGCTGAAAGGCAGAGGAATGCGCTGTCTGACAGCTTGCGACATCACCAGTCACGTTCTGAGTACATTTACATGGACACCAATTCTTCGATTTTAATATGACTAAGATAATACTCTTATTAAGAGTCTACCATGTAAGCAGTGATTTTTGATTACCTTAAAGGACCACCAAGTCACAAAATGCAGAGGTTTTTCTTTCTATTCGCCATGCGGAATTATTCCATTAAAACAGAAGTCGAAAGTCAAAAATGACAAACCTGAAATAGCAAGAAGCGCTGAAGGAAATGCTGGAGAACCTGGTGATGCGACATTAATTGTTTTATACTGAAAATTGCTTTCAAAAAGTGCTTCCTTGGTCTTATCCATATTTCTTTGCATGTTGAACACACGTCGGCCACAACAGGAAATAAAAAAACAAATGCAACTGCGTTAAATTTTTTTTACGGGTTAATTATTTAAAATTAATCGCATGCGGCAACGCACTAATTTTGACAGAACTAATATATGTATGTATGTATGTATGTATGCATGCATGTATATGTATATGTATGTATGTATATATATATAATAGAGTAATAGAGTAATCCACGTATGAAGAACGGACTTCTGATGACCTTCACAGCCAATCACAGTCATTTCTGTTGAGCATGTGAGCACAACGGCCAATCAGCTGTGTTTACGAACGTTCTCAACATCGCTCAAATGTTAGCAGGAAATGGACATTTTTAAAATTTGAGAATAGTACTTCTGACAACACGACTCTGAAACAGCTTGTCTTTTTAGACAAGTATTTAATTTACGATATGGTGGGGGATGGTAATGCATCTTTTATGGTATTTGTACTTGAAATCTGAACGGTTTTCTTTTAATGTAAAGCACTTGTGCTATATAAATACATTTTACATACCTCGGTAAGTTCCCTGTCGATCATTTCATCCCACCATCCACATTTCTTTCAGATTTCCTACCATACTGGAGATGCAGCAGCAGGTTAATCTGCAGAGAAAAGTCCTCAGTCTCGCTGAAATAAAAGGCAGAAAACATGAAATTAATAAGTTACACCA